TATGTTTAACTACAAGTTTTGATTGGTCAGACGACATGTTCCTCAGTTATATATACTGAAACACAAAAGAAACGAAACAAGCAGTAATCTACAAATATTTGAACTTTTTATCTAATGATTATCAAAAATGAATACAGTAAGGTAAAACTCAATTTAAAAACATCAGAGATTTGATAAAAATTTTAAATGATTATCTTTTAACTTTAGAAAGTAAGACATGAATGTTTAAACACCCCCCCACCCCGGCCATTCAATTACAGCATGGAGGACTGTCATGTGCAACAGTTGCAACTTGATTTCAACGATGCAATAGGTTCATCAGTCTCAAGATCTGAGCGAAAGAAATATTCTTTGCCATTTTTAAATGCCTGTTTTTCAGATGATGAGGTCAAATTTTCTCTAGCCAAGCGCAGTGTAGTAACCCTTGGACTTCCGGTCCAAGGACTGTCATATATGCTAGCCTGTTTAGGCGTGATGTGGTGCATATTTGCATCTGCAACTCTCCATCACCTTTATTTTGAGATTTTCCAGCTAGAGCAATAGAAATGTGCACCTAAGTCATTTTTAGGAAGCCTTGGCATCGCTTACGGAAAAGAAAGGAGAATTTATTTTTCGAAACATTGCTGCATTACTTATGATGAACAGATACAAATCCTTAAAACCCCATATTATTGCCAAATGTTTTGTTAAACATGCAATTTTTTACTTCTGTTAAGCGGACTCAAACTTAACTTCCGGTAATGGTATGAAAATCATTCAACCGTTAAATTACCGATATTTACAAAGTTGAAAATGTCCTTACATTTTAGATACAAAATTATATCCTTTGTATAATATTTCCCCATAAAATAGGATGTTGCGTTTCTTTTGCATTTCAGTATATAATTTTTCTCAAGAATTTGTGATAGAAGTATTGCTTCTTTAAGAAGCTTCCTCATAAAAAATTGGGGTACATTACCAGGCATTTATACAAGATACCAGAGAATGTTGTTTCCTATAAAATCCTATTGGAAATCAGTTTAAATGCGGATTATCTCAATTTTTGGTGTACCTCGGTATATAATTTTTTAAGCATCTTGAAAACAGTTTAGAATTTATAAGATGATAATAATTATAAATGTTTTTTGGTACATGTATATTACTAAGAAATATAAAAGCGGATATTCAAGGAACGTGTCATCAGAGCTTAATTTGCTTAAAAAAAAATCTTACCCTCATCATTTGCATTGGTCAAAAGGTCATAGGACCTGCACCGTCTTTTCATAGGCATGGTGGCCTTTTAGATAATACTTCAGGGATTGACTAGAGTATCAGAGAAAACTGACCAAGAAGCAGTTTCCGTCAATAATCGGAAAGTACCAGCAGATGTTACTACACAACTTCCTGACCTGTCATGTCATTGTTTTAGTCGGCAGGCCTAGTGATCTGAGATTTTACTTTATCAAGCACCCTCTTAAAAAGAGTTTTCCTATTACTTTAAAACACTCAGCACCAATATCATGATTGTACTGCACAGTTTGGTGATTAATTAAGAAGTACTGTGGTTATGCTCTTAAAATTGATTGTAACAGTGCAGTTTAGGTGAGGTTTGAAGTAACATAGCTATACCACATAAACAGGATGTCCATACTGAAGCTAGCTAATCGTGATATTGTGTAAACAAGCAGATCTCATATCATATATACCTCAACAATCAATTCTGAGGTGTATTTTACATCATACATCTGATGACAGACTAAATTTCTAAACTGCTATTAAATTCTTGACTTGCTATTACAGGAAGCTATCCACATATCTCTGATTATATGTGAATATTTTGTATTACAAAAAAAACAAGATGTGTTTGTGAAACACTGATGTCCCCGTAAGGTAGCTTATGGCGATCAAGGTTAAAGTTTCTCAAAGGCAAGTCAAACTCCAAGGTCAAAGTCAAGAGATCAAAAATGTTGTTACCCAAAGAAAGGACTTGTGTCAATGGACATATCTGGTAAATATGAAAGCCCAAGCACCAACCATTCAGAAGTTATGGTCAAGATAACGTTTTCTAAAAGTGGGTCAAACTAAAAGGTCAAAGTCAAAGGGTCAAAATTAATGGTACACAGGGGGAGACCTTGTCATAAGCAATACAGATGTAACATAACAGAGACCTAGCACCAACTGTTCAAAAGATATAACTAAGGTTGAAGTTTTTCAAAAGTAGGTCAAACTACAAGGTCATGGTCAAAATTCAAAATTGTTAGTACGCAAGAAAGGTCTTGTCACAGGGATTATATCTGTGAAATTTGAAAGCCCTAGTGCTCACTGTTCAAAAGTTATGGCAAGGTTAAATTTTTTTAAGTGGGTCAAACTATAAGGTAAAGGCCAAAAGGTCAAAAATATTTACACCCACAGAAAGGTCTTGTCACAATGAATACACATACAAAATATGAAAGCCCTAGCACCAACTGTTCAAAAGTTACGGCCAAGGTTAAAGTATCAAAAGTAGGTCAAACTCCGAGGTCAACATCAAAAGGTCAAAATTGTTGGTATCCAAAGAAAGGTCTTGTCAGAAGGAATGTACCTGTGAAACTTGAAAGCCCTACCAACTTTTCAAAAGTTATGGGAAAGGTTAAAGTTTTTCAAAGTGGGTCAAACTTTAAGATCAAGGTCAAAAGGTCAAAAATATTTACACCCATAGAAAGGTCACTTCACAATGAATACACATGTGAAATACGAAAGCCCTAGCATCAACTGTTCAATAGTTATGGCAAAGGTTAATGTTGGGTAATTTTTTGCAAAAGTGGGTCAAACTCAAAAGTCAAGGTCAAGAGGTCAAATATGTTGGTATCCAAAGTAAGGTCTTGTCACAAGGTATACGCATGTGAAATATGAAAGTCATAGCTCCAACCAATCGAAAGTTAGAGGCAAGGTTAAAGTTTTTGCGGACAAACAGACAGACAGACGGACAGGGCAAAAACTATATACCCCCGAATCTTCGATACGGGGGCATAAGAAAATAGATGTTTGTAAGACACCATTGTACCATCTGCAGATGGTAAGAAGTACATGGATTTCAAAATTCAAGAGCATAATTCTGTTACAAAAATATGTCCAGAATTCAAAGACAAAATTCTTGAAGATATGTCCAGTACATTTATCATACAGGCCAATTATGACAGTTGTTTTAAAAATTCTAAGTCCAATCCAAGCTACAAAGATGATTAATGAGATGTAATTCAGGTTTGCCCTATGTGCCCCCAGGCATAACAAGGATTAGGTGTGTAGGTAATCATCTTCACTAACCAAAGGTTTCTGATCCGCTACTCTCCTCTCAAACCCTTGGCCTATGGTGCTGTCAAAAGTCAGACTGTTTACGTCAAGTGATCTAAAATCTTACAATATACTGTATGTGTACTTAAAAAAGCGGGCTTCATATTTTAGTGGCTTTGGCGCAGACAGCGATGCACTAATTCATGAATATCGCTAAGAAATTATTTAAATATACAATACACAGCACAGACACGTGTAGCGCTAATTCATGATTACACCAACAACTCCATACCCAGTGATTGCACTAAAATTTGAATACACCAATTTATGTACATGTACGGTATGCAAAAATTGCATCATCAACAGAAATAAAAAAGTGAATTTAAAAATTAAAGTGTTTAGAGAATAATAATTAACAAGAAGGTATTGAGCAATATTTATTTGTTATTTAGGGTGAAAATCTTCATCTGCAATATAGATTCCTGATCAGATTTTTTGCAACATCAACTTAAGATTGGATGACACCATAGCTATTTATAGAATGGCATGTTATCTTACGGATCCTTGTTTACTTGTGTTTTTCATTCCCGATACTAAAGAGTCAATATATATCCTGAACGCAGATATGGTCATTTACAAAAGGCAACTGCTGATTGGTCCAACAATAGCAATCAACTCCAATCACAACTCGAGGAAAAAATCCCAATTTTTTTTTAACATCGTAGGCCAAGGATTTGTGAGTAGAGGAGTGGATCAGAAACCCTTGGTTAGCAAAGATGCTCATTAGTTTAAATGTTGCTTCCTCAACTTATCCTCTTATATTTCTCCCTCAGGGCACTTGGAAAAGGGGAGATGAATTTACCTTTCATAAGAGTGCTCAATAAAGGTAACATATCAAAGCATCTGTAAGTCATTCACTCTTACATGTACACAGTCCTGGTTTCAAAAGTGGGTGCAACTTCCCAAAAAAATCTTGACAAGCAAAAAAAAAATAAAACCTCAACTGACCAAAAAGTGGAGGGAGGGGGACTTCCCAAAATAATCTGACAAGCGAAAAAAAAAAACCTAATTAACTGTCCAAATCCTAGAATTTGCCAGTGCTCAGCTACAAAAAGTGTGTGTGTGTGTGTGTGGGGGGGGGGGGGGGGGGAGGGAGGAGGACCAGCATCAGCATCTAAAGAAAAATCTAATAAAGCACAATACACACATTTAATATTGCACAATCAGATTAGATACTCAGATAAATTGCCCCCCCCCCCTCCCCATTCTACAGGCCTGTTACATACAATAATTTTTTGTAAAATTTTCAATGCCTCAATGATGACTTTTTAAAGCAAAGAATCCATATCTTACATAGCTGAATAGTCATTGTTTTTATTGAAGTTCACCAGTAACGGCAAATGTCCATGGTAGACACGGTAAGATTGTTAATGCTACTCCATTTTAGTGATATCCACACCCTTGCTAATAAGATCCTTGCTATTTCTTTCTGTGCAGAAATATAAAATTAACTTACCTTGCACACTCTCATTTAAGGTGCAAAGGTAAGATTTATCTACCTGGCATACTCTCATTTAAGGTGTACATTAAAGGTAAGATTTACCTACCTGGCACACTCTCATTTAAGGTGTACATTTAAGGTAAGATTTACCTACCTGGCATGCTCTCATTTAAGGTGTACATTTAAGGTAAGATTTACCTACCTGGCACACTCTCATTTAAGGTGTACATTTAAGGTAAGATTTACTTACTTGGCATACTCTCATTTAGGGAGTTGTCATGAATGGCATAGCGGCTGAACTTGTCCAGGGGACAGGACACTGAAATAATCAAAGTACCAATTAGATCCAAACACTGGCTTTCAATGTCCTTTAAAAGATTGTACTTTTGCTGTAGCATTCTGCATAATTAAAAAAATATTCTTTTATGTATATTGCACTTTTTCAATTGAGTAAAATACCTTCCATGTGTGAAAATCAGAATCTGTATCTTTGGATAAAGTGATTATATACTAGTACTGAATGAGACAGCAAACAATTAGCTCATGACTGCAGTAATACATGTATTGTAAAGCAAAGAAAATAACAACAACATGGGTATAAAAAGTGGAAATAATTTGATATGGTCAAAGTAAAAATTTTCTACTCTATGTTTTATTGTGTTCAACTTTAAAATTAACATATGAACCACAATTGTCTGTCTAAAAAGAAATGTATAAAATCATTCCTATACAACAGTTTAATTGACTCTTAAATATTGAAAGCAAAAAAGAAAAAAAATCATCAGAAAAAAGAAAAAAGTATAAAGCTAACAAAATACTGTCTGATAATAGTTTTTGACTTGAATGTTGAATATTTGTGATCATTTTTCCTGATCTATAATTGTGTTAATGTGGAGCTGGCTGATAGAGACATGTTAATTGTTTTAAAGTTCTCCTCCATTTTCACGGCTCTAAATGTGATTCCTCAGTGTCAGATGTAAGATGTAGTGTTTATGGAGAGAGAAAGTATAAAAACCAGCCTGTTATATAATCAGAAAGCCATAGAGAAACAAGACAGCATTCAAATATAATTAACTTCCTTATCTACCGGGAAATTGGGGGTCTGTTCTAAATTACAAAACTACAATGAAACTATTCAATTTTTACCGTTCATCAAGATTATCAGCTCTCACTCTTTTGAAGCCTTGATTCAATTAGCATTATTTTTTGCAACTCTTCCAAAACACATGCTAAATGACAACTGTTCTGAAAGTTCAATACTTTTTAGTTCCAAATGATACTGAGAAATGATGAAGTAAATAGGGGTTTCAATTATCAATTCTTCATTGAGTGGCATACAGAGGATCAACAAATGACTCATTGATTGAAGAATTGGCAGTGTATCCTAATCTATTCTCCAAAAAAAAAGAAGTCAAAATGGTCTGTTAATATTTTGTGACCAAAATTCTGCAACATATGCAGCTTAAAATGAACTATACTTGAACTTTAAAATACAATTTTGGTGAAAACGTATGTAGAAATGAAGCTTTGCAATATAAACATTCCTCTTACAAACTTTAGCATATCCTTTATTAAAAACTATTGACCACATATTGCGTAACCGTCTCCCAGACACACAAATTGATTTTGGTTTGAAAGTGACTTGAATAAAGTATGGAAGTTTCTTTCATAACATCAACTACCGGTATTCTTTTGTGATTGAAAGAAAATCATCCCCATCAAATAGACAAGTTACAGATTCTTTACATGATAAAAATATTGAGAAATTTAAATCTCTAGCATACATACCCACTTCATGAGATTGTGTCAATCTATACTTCTTAGAACGGGCAAAAAACATTTTTTTTGGTCGTAATAACTATAAATAAAATCCTTTGGAATCAATCCTCATAAGCACATTTCAAAAAAGAAGGTAAATGAAACATGACTATGGCACAAGTAATTTGCGGGTCATAATGGTCAGGTTGCTTGTCCAGCATTGTATCCACAGATCTACGGATCAGAAACATGGAGTCAGTATTTACTCTTTGTGTTTCCGTTCTCACAGGTGTGCTAAGTTTCCTGTAGCAACAATAGCTTCCAAGTCCAGAACAAATAATGGCTGAAGAATTCAATGATTCCTCAGAAAAACAAGGAATCCTCCTCCAACAACGAGCTCATTCTATACAAATAAACCTCTGTGGGACCGAGATAAAAAAGATATAAAAAAAACTTGGAAAAACATCACATTTCAATGGATGTTCGAGAGAGATAGACTTATTTTGTTGGCAACATCTGTACATGTAAAAATGCCATTAGTTACCATAAATCCTGACATTCAGTAATATATTGGCATTTAGAACAGCCCACTTAAAACAAGAGAAAATGTCAAAATGCACAAATTTTAATTGTTGACAGCACAAGCATGTGTTGTCATGCACAACTAGCAGCATACTTAAAAAAATCTAAAAGTTCTGTTTTCATCTGCTAGTATGATTGTAAACAGCTTCTTGCCTCTGCATGTATACATATTTTTTTTCCTTATTTTTGAAGTTTATCAAGCTCATACACACGCAAAGGCACTAAATCTACGCAAAGGCACTAAAAAGCCACAATCACTCGTAATGAAATATATATCCCTGCTGTTAAGTGATCCTTATAATCTCACAATAAAACCTCTTCAAACTCAGCAGAATCCTAAATAAACAAGAAACTATGTCCACTGAAAAAGAACGTTTAGATGAAAACACCGATAATACTAGTTTGAAAATTGATCTTTTTCAATCTCAGAAGGCTTCTTTTGTTAAAATGGTTTCAATATCATACAAATAAAGCTTTTCATGTGTTACAATCAATTGTGAAGAAACAAAAAGACCAGAGAAAGTCCTTGTACAAGAGATTGTTATTTTACTCTGAGACTGAATGAAGAGCACGACCTTTTATTTCTGTCAGAATAATTGACCCCAAATTTATTATTCTACAGTCTGAAGATAAATGGTGCATTTAAACAATTTGTTCTCTTGGATTTGAACTTAGATAAACTCACTTTACAAAAGGATCAAATTACACACTTAAATGATTCATTTTCTGTATGCTTTAAAAACAAAAATAACCATTCCTCTTAGTCTTATCTTTTATAATTCCATCACGAACAAATCAAGAACATTTCCTCCATACATTAGGCATCACAGAATGCATCATCAGCTCCAGTTTGAGGTATTGTTTTCCTGTCATGAAATATACCAATATCTAAACCTATAATCCACTTTGAATACATCACACCTATCCAGGTATAAACTTCTTTGAATAAATCAGACACATATCAGCTGGCTACAGATAATTCTGTTCAGCTGTTAAACTCGACATCAAGGTTACAGAGAAATATCACTTATATGTCACATCGAAAGTTTGTTTTTTATCCCTGCTCACTAATATTTCCCTGACAAACAATAACTTCCCTCTTCCTTCAGCTCCTTCTCTGAGAAGAGATACCTGAGCCCCACCCTGTTTCTCTGTTTATAACATGTCACTAGAAAGTCCTATTGTCAATTATATGTCTGCTGTGAAAATTGTCATTCAGTCGACCTACTTTGTTTACTTGTCACACACAAATTTTACAAAGTCCCTCTATTGTCATATTGTCTCATGCATCACCTTTTTAAGTCCCAATTTTGTACCAATTTCCTGCTAATGACCCAAATTTACACACCTATCACAAAAATTCTCTTACTGTCAGTGTTCATAAATTGCTTCAAGGAATATTGAAGTAAAGATAAATTTCACACCTAATTTGCACCAAATGTCTAATTACTAAAGGAAGGATGTGTTTTATTTTCAGTTATAGTATTACCAGAAGCAACAAAAATAATCAAAAACCAGGCATACAAATGACTGCAGATTCAATAAAAGCCAGCTGTGATACAAGCCTCATAGCTAGCACCTTTCTGTGATTTTCCAGTCTAAACAAGACTTGAGGTACTATGAGTGAGCTCACAAAATTAGAAACCCACCCCAAGCATTTTTTTAAAAGTGCCCAAATAAATCTTCTAAATGTGACCTTGAATTTGCCAAAATAATCTTGGTTAAAAAAAAATGACACATCCTCTGACATAACTAATCTATGAGTGATATGTGAACATCCAATGTTTCTCCATTAGAAAATAATGAACCTGACATGTTACATTCTTCTGCCAGTGACCTTGAACTTACCACATAGCCTTGGGTCATGTTAAGACACAAATAATCTTTGTTTGAAGTTTCAACTCCCAATACTTATCCATTAAAGAGTAGTGAAGTGGATACAAATATTGTATATTTTCTGCCAGTGATCCTGCACTTACCAGAATGACCTTGTATCAAGGTCATGACACATCTTATGGACATAAATAATTATTTTTTGTGTGAAGTATGGACTCGTTTTCCCATTACAAAGTAATAGACAAGACAAAATATAATACTTTTTCTGCCAGTGACCTTGAACTTGCTAAAATGATCTTAGCTGACATACCCTTTTGTCATAAGCAATCTTTGTGTCAAGTATCAACTTCCAATAAGAATCCATCTGAGAGTTATAGACCAGACACAAATATAACAACTTTTTCTGCCAGTGGCATTAAATCTGATGGAATGACCTTGGGTCAAGGTCAATAAAAACCCTTGGGTCATTTTCAAATATTTGTGATAAGTAAGAGCCTCTAATGTTCATTAAATGATACGTTACAGGACAGGAATAAAACATTTTTCTAAAACTAACCTTGAACTTGATCAAATGCCCTTCGATCAAAGTTATGACATGCTTTTAGTTCATAAGCAATCTTTGTATGAGGTATGAGCTTCCATTTAGAGGTTGTAAACTGGACATAAATTTTATACATTTTATGCCAGTAACATTGAACTTGCCGGAAAGACATTGGATCAAGGTCCTGACAATACCTTTACTTCATAAACAATATTTGTTCAAAGTAAGAGCTTTCACTGAATCTTCATTAGAAAGTTATAGCCCAGACATGATTACATGGACAGACAGACGGATGGACGGTCAGACAGACAAAGGTGATTCCTATAAGCCCTTCAATCTTAGTTTGCAGGGGGTTATAATAAAAAAAATGTTTAGTTTCTGTAATTTAGTCAGGACAGAGTCTGGACTCCTAGTCTTTCTCAACAGAGGCCCAGTCTGATGATCTGACTGATTTATGACTCTGTGTTGGACTCTGTTGTTGTGCCTAGTACTAAAATGGGCACTGTTCCATGATTGCTGGATTTATACTTCACACTGTCCTGACACCATCAATCACAGCACACCACATCTACTTATCTTACAACACTACACACAAGCTCTGCTCAAAATGTTTGTCTTTTCAAGTAAATTTGCCAATCATTTAAGAAATAGACAAAAATGAACTATAATAAAAAAACAAGAGGCCCATGGGCCACATCGCTCACCTGAGTAACTTTGGCCATGCTGTTCATTACCAGACTTCCCCCCTTGTAATACCTATTGTGGCCCCGCCCTACCCCCAGGGGCCATGATTTGAACAATTTAGAATCTACACTACCCCAGGATGCTTCCACATAAGTTTCAGCTTTTCTGGCCCAGTGGTTCTTGAGAAGAAGATTTTTTAATGACCCCACCCTATTTTTGTCTTTTCTTGATTATCTCATCTTGTAAGGGGACTTGGCCCTTTATTTCAATAATTTAAACTCCCCTTCCGCCAAGGATACTTTGTACCAAGTTTGGTTAAAATTGGCCCTGTGGTTCTTGAGAAGAAGTTCAAAATGTGGAAAGTTTACGGACGACGGACAACGGGTGATCAGAAAAGCTCACTTGAGCTTTCAGCTCAGGTGAGCTAAAAAAACCTTCAATCTGCATTAGAAAAAAATTAAATGGCATTTTTTTCAATCAAAATATTTTTAATGCCCTTTAATATAAATGTTAAGAGTGATTCTCTATAAAATACTTTTTTCAAACTAAATTGCAAAAAATACAATAGGTAATATTGTCCTTCTTTCAAAAAGTCTTAAGGTAATACATGGTTTTAATTCCTCAGAAATTCAAATCAAACAATTTTATTCCTTAATTGTTTAATACAAACAACTTTTATTAGTACTTTCATTAGGGACCCCATTAAGGTTCCTTGTATGAATTAAAGATACAGGTGTATAAGCTGAGAGCTCTGCCTATACTCTTTTGATACCGGCCATTATTATTATAATTTAGAATGTATTTAGTGGTCAAATACATGTGTGGCAGTCAGTCAGGCTGGTGGCCAGATAGCTCAGTTGGTAGACTACCTGACTGGTGATTCAGTGGCTCCATGTTCGAATCCTGGTCTGGTCTGTTCCATTCCTCTCCAGTTAAAAACGTATTACTTTTTTATCAATAACCAGATGGATGAATTCCCTTATGTTTGGGTACATGGGGACTTAATTCATTTCCTTCAAAATAATTTTTTAATTTATTTATTCTAGAGCACTAGTCCAGTAACTGAGTTTGATTCTGCTCTACTTGTGGCTAAACTTAGCCTTTTCAGGTAGAACTAAATCCTCAACTCAAAATTTTTTATTTTTTTTTGGTCATTAGACAATTTTCTGATGGAAGGGTGATAAGGCAGCCATAAAAATGAAATTCACTTAAACTTTGTGTATCGTATGGAGCAAGACTGAAGACAAATCATTGCTGAAAATGAAAATTGTTTAAAGAAAACAATTCATCATTATAGAAAAATTATGCCCAAAATTAAATATAAAGGAAAGAAATGCTTAAGTGTTTATGTTAAACCAATAAATATATTCATCAAATGAGAAAAATGTGTTTAATTAAGTCATGCAAATAAAAAATATATAAAGATAGCCAATTCACTGCAAAGGTTTACATAAAAAGCATCTGGTTTCAAGATGTGACATTCTTTCTTTTACAGACATATCTCTGTAACTGTAGTAGACTTTATGAATGTAGACTATAACTGT